TTTTTTTTAAACTGGATGCAGGAAACAGTAACAATAATTGAAAATCAGTGATCCAAAGAACAGCACTGATAAGGAACAAACAGCTGGTAATAAATTGATGAAGTAATCCAGATGTACAGTTACTTAGGCAATTGTCTACAGGAGACCTTTTGACTGCAAATAAACTTTGTTAATAGATCACACTTTTTTTTTTTGAAATTTTAAGCAAAGAATAAAAAATCGTCATACTTTTTTACAATCTTTATTGTTTTATGACTCAACACTTGTGAAAACATTTTTCAGATGTTTAATGTACTTCTAAATTATTGGTTGCTGTAAAATTACTTCTTTAATACCAATAATGATTAAATATTACACAACAGTATTAGTAAGTTAATGTCTATAATTTACAGCAATTTTTAATTTTCTTTTAATTTATTGAAACTATAGCAGTGGTACAGTAAGATTCAACCACAAGTTAACTCTTATCATATTATTTGTAGAACTGAAAAATTTATCGAATAATTATCGAAAGGTAAAAATACAGCAAAATTCTTAGACTGCTGCCCTACAAAAGTTTGATATTTGAAGAGAAGACAGTTATAATGTGGGATCTATCATACAATTCGAAGGTCAAAATAAAAGCAACAAATAAACTTTACTGAAAAAAATATTGGCAAAAATATGGACAAATTTATGTCGTCTATCAGTAGAGAGTTGAACCGCGGTCGTACAGTACTTTTTCTTGGCTATTATAACCTGTGGTACGGAAATTCTTAGATAGTCTCTCAGTGATATCGATATAATATTATTTTAGGCTATCTTTTCTAGTAGTTTAAAAACGGATAAACTGCTAACTGTTGTGATAAATTTTATAAAACAAGAAAATTTTTCAAAAGATAATAAGATGAAAATTCTGATAGCACATATACAGGTTCAATTTATACTTCACTGAAAGGTACATAAACTTTTTACCTTAAAGATCAAAAATTACGTTTATCATAGTAATTAAATAAAATTCTACATAATCTGCAGACTCGGTATGCTCTCTCATAAAATAGCCGAAGTTCACCAAAAGCTCTATCGCTGAACTTATCGTTACGCACACAAAAAGAAACTGATTCTGTCATTAGGAAAACTGATCTGTTGTTATGATTCTAAAGTGATTTAACGGTTTTTAGAAGATTTAAGAAAAATACGCTGAATACTCACAAGGGTTATAGTTTTCATTACACTCATTAACTTGTGATATTGTAAAAGATGATAAAGCCTATTCTAGCAAAAAGCTCATTTTGTTCCTCATTTTGGCAACAGTGCTATTCTCAGTAAATTGCACAAACTCAGTAATAAAAAATTGCGGTGATAATTAAAGAAATAATAAATGTTAGAAAAAGAGAAGACTTAAAAAAAAAACTACTTGTCTACAGTAAAATTAATTGAAAAAAAATCTTTTTTTGATTATAATGTTTTCATCAATAAAGCATAGATTAACACTAAACTTTAAGCTTCTTTTTCTTGCTTTTAATTATATGATTTAGTGACAATAAATTAGGTCGTTTGATTTGAAGCTCGATAAATTGATTATACACTTTTATTTTCACGTTAGGAATACACGAAAAAAAATTCCCAATGAATCAGAAAATTTTTCAAAGAGTATTTGCAATCTTAAACTTGTATTCGAACAGACTTGTTTACGTAATTTATAAATAAGGATTTTTTTTTTCGTAATTCCAACAACAACCATTTTAGCAGTATCAAAAATTCAGTCAGTTTATCAATTGATCAACATCGGATGTTATCACCTAAATGAATCTTTACACTGTAGTCTGCATAAATTAAAGC